ACCACTGTGGTCCTTTGACTTGTTGACTTGTGTTGTCCTGCAGGTGAGCAGCCTGATGGAGAACGGTCAGGCTCATCTCTCTGAGTCTCTGCCTGCTGCTCTGCAGGATGGAGGGCAGCTCCACTGGCTCGCCGTGTTCCTCTGCTCCTCCGATGAGTCCCTGAGAGAGCCGTCTGAGCAGACGATAGTGGCAGGAGATGAACCGGGAGTGCTGCTGTTGGCCCTGTGTGTTGCTGTACGGGGACTCAGCATGTTGCGGCAGTAGAATTACGCTGACCTGTTGCTTAGTCTTATAGCTGCAGTTATTATGATGGGAGACAAAAGGATTCTGGGTACATTTATGTGTCCTGCATTTAGGACCACTGGGAGTCAAAGTAATGGTCAGACTAAATTGTCTTTGTGTTCATCACCTGTTCTGTATTTTGATCCTGGGTATTTCTGTCTTTTGTATTTTTCATATAGTTAACTGTTTTTTCTCCTGCTGTTGGACAGAACATTTCCAATCCTGTATTCTATCATTGATTTAAGACGTAGTTCTAATGGTCTGCTTTTAAATTTGATCAGGTGTTGTACTAATTTTCTGTCATGCCACATTGGTTTTACTGGTCCAGTTACCTGTCTGTAGAAGGAGGAGCTAACCTTTAGTCTTGAGGACAGGAGGAAGATCCTGGTTGGCTAGAAACCTTGTCTTGGTAGTAAATCATGAAAGGACCATTGCTCATTGCTCATCTTAATTTTGGCTTTGTGCAAAGACTAAATAAAGTTCTTCAGTGACTGTGGTGTTGGTTTCCTTGGGACACTGGGACAGGACATTTAATCTCTCCTGGTTTTCACTTCAGGGTCGTTACTGTGTAACAGCAGTGTCAGTAAACCTGTACCACCTCAGGCTTTTGTAGGTACCTACCTTACAACATAAAGACCTACAGCATGTCCTGACTCTTTTCCCTGTTTGTTCCAAAGTAAAAACACAGTTGTACCCTGCAGTACTTAAGTTAAGTACACAAGAACTTTGTAGTTTGACTTATTTCCTCTCTTTGTTGTCATCTGTCCCCCCAGTGTTGTTACATTATATATGGTCACTTTCAAATATATCAGATTTTATGACAGCACAGTCTCACTCAGAGGGCTTCAAAATATGCCACTTGGGCAGAGTCCCCATGCCAGGGCCACCTGGCTCAGAGGCAGAGCGGGTTGTCCACTAATCAGAAGGTTAGTGGTTCGATCCATGGCTCCTCCAGTCTGTATGTCAAAGTGTCCTTGGACAAGATACTGAACCCCAAATTGTTCCTGATGGCTGTTTGATCAATGTGTGAGAGTGTGTGAATAGTTACTGAGCAGCAGATGGCACTGTGTATGGTATCCTGTGTGTTAAGAGGCTTGTTTGAGATGAACTGCACCTTGCCTGGAAAGCAGAGGAGAGCAGTGGGCTGCAGCAGGGGGCGGTGACAAAAAGCTTCGGTGAAGTCGGACAGCTGAAGCTAGGAGAGCCAGATCCTCTGCAAAAAGCAAAGATGAAATCGTGTGGCAGCCATACCTGACAGTCTCTGCACCTTGACGGCATCCAGGCCTCTGTCCACCACAATCACAATGTAAAGTGGTGATAAGGCACAATACCTGGCATGACTTCATGCCGAGAACACAGAGGAAGTTCTGACTCTGGTTATATATTAATTACTGCCTGGAAATTCACACTGTGCAGCTACAAGTTAGGTGTGGAGGTACAGGTAAACACTGTGGCTGATATCAAATTACAAACATTAACACTGGCTCACATGTTGCATTATTTCCTAGGAATCCTTCTCATTTAGGTCTGCATACTGGATCTGGTGCAGGATTGGTGGACTCTGCCACCACCAATACTAACCATGACTATACTGAGAGTTAATTACTGAGTTTAATTACAAATTCAGTGCTTATTGCTGAAAATACAGACCATAAATAGATTCAAAAAATAATTTAGATTTTGTTGAAATCTAAAGGATTATGACTTTAAAGATGGGGTTTGCAGAAATCTGGAAAAAACGTATGCACACGCTTTATACAGTGACCCAGTGTTTTCCAGACTCTTTTCCATGAGTCTGTCTTTCTTCTTTGGGTTGCTTTGCAGTGTAGGCAGTTGTTTCCGTTGCTGGAATAGCAACTTTCTCTGCAATATTCTCTGCCATTGAATCAGGCTTTCACCAAAGGGACGTGCACGCACACCTGCATCTGTAGAATAGCCAATAGGAACGCCCACCCTCTGAAATGACCTAAACTGAGTTTTATTAAAGCCTGAAATCGAAGCCAAGAGGAGGTGCAGAGGTTGTTTTCTCTCAGTCCACTTGAATTAGAATATGTTTAAAGTTTCTGATGCGATTTTTGCCCAGTGACGCTAAAATCAATCTGCCCTCCCCCAGTTTTAATTAATTAAACATGTTTGCAGCCAAATTTAGATTTTTAAAAAACATTTATTTGATTAAAAAAAACACCAACAGTTTATATTTGAT